TCCCTCCCTCCTTCCCTCCCTCTCTCTCTCCTTCCCTCCCTCTCCCTCTCTCTCACTTCATCTGCCCCATAGTCCATTTCCAGCATGTCATATTTTCCAGGTACTTTCACAAACGAGTGCCTCTCCTCCCACTTGTTCTTTGTCTTATCTTCAAACCTGAAAATAAAAACAAAAAACAATTAAACAAATACTGTAATACATAATGTACATGTACACTAGATGTCAATACAATGCGTCATTCTAATACAACACACAGAAGTACATGTACATGTACATACATATATCTATATGTGTATAAATTATGCAGTGAACATGTAAGTACATGTACATGTAAGCTAAGGCTGTATGATTATTCTGTTCCTTTATTAAAAATACGTCAAATATTTAATGTTTTAATGTAGAGACTACTGTCTCCTAATAATACATTACCAGCAGCTGTCAATACTAACTGTCACTGGATAATAGCCAAATTGTGAGACATCATATTGAGATTTGACAGTTCACATACTGTATTGACTTTACTACACCCAAAAAATTAACCCCAAAAAATTTAATCAATTACAATAGCCAATTCTTATCATAATTAATTATTATCATTATAACAATGACAACTGATAGTATGTACATGTACATGTACATGTATAAAGACATTCAAACAAAAGATACTCTCCTTCTCTCCCATCAATATAACCTCTTACAACTTTAGATATTGTTAGTAATATACAGGAATGTAATAACTGAACAACAATTATTAGTTACTTGTTAAAAGTATATTTATTCTGACTATAGCTACATGTACATGTATACAGTACATGCATGTACATGTACATGTATATCTAATTTGAAACAGAAAGAGGGTATGTCTCTGTCACCACTCACTGTCTCCCTCCCTCTCTCTCTTTGGAATAAATCAACAACTAACATTAGTTATAATTGGGAAATCATGTTAGTTTACAAATATAAACAAAATAACATAAACAATATATTTATGACAATACACAAAATGTACACATCATAATTACATGTATACATGTATACGTGTACATGCTTGAGTTAGTCTGAGCATGTTTATATACATGAACAGGTTAGATTTCTATTCTTGGGATTTCATTTTCAGTTGGGTATAATTTGTACATGTACATGTACATGCATGAATATTTATGTAGCATTATAACTAGCTAATAAATACATGTACAGTACATGCAAGTTAAATGGGTCAGGAATTTCTCTCCCAATCTCTTTCTCTCTCTCTCTCTCTCTCTCTCTCTCTCTCTCTCTCTCTCTCTCTCTCTCTCTCTCCCTCCCTCCCTCTCTCTCTCTCTCCCTCCTTCTCTCTTTTACTTTTTTCTAAATGCATTTTTAGCTGATTCCAGATCACCTCCAAAGCTAAATAAATCATTCTGTCCAGCCTTACCAACTACATGCATATAAAGTAGAAGAGAAAAAGAGAGAAGTATAGTTTGGATTATTCCTTAATAAAGAAACTTCACCATACATCAAATGTTTGTACATTATAGTTGATACTAATCGTACATGTACATGTACATGTACTTACCTCTTCCCCAGCGGAACCACACGCTGTATGACTTCTTCCCATTGTCCTTCAATAATTGTAAAAGATAGAACTTGTTATTATTGTTCTTAAGGTTAGTCTACAAACCAAACAAACAAAATAATAATAATAATAATAATTACACTAGTTATACAATTTTAAATTAACAATTAGACAACATGACACAAATTAATGAATAATAATAATAATAATAATAATAATAATAATAATAATAATAATATTTAATGAGTAGATTTTATATTTATAATTTGTAGCCCACATAATGTCGTCAGTGTACATGTACATGTACATGCGTAGAATAAAAGAAAATGTTGAATTTCTATGTGTGCTAGCTGGCATTTTATTGTTATGAAACATCAAACCTGCCAACTTACTCACTGCCAATAATTATTTCAATCAGCAAAATAATACTCACTACATGCCATAATACATGTACACATATAATGTACACATGTATACACAATAATAGATGTACATGTACATGAATGTACTAAATGTAAGTGAAATAGCTCAAATAAGTGGATTCTAATTGAATACATGTTGTATGCAGTTACATACATAATAGTATAATCAATGTACATGTATACTTATATGCATATACATGTAATACATTTACATGTATCATATTTTACCATATAAATGCTTGGTCCAAATAAACTCCTGTCATTAATATATTCTAGCTATAGATACGCTTATTTCTACCAAAAATAATGCCTCATTGTTTAGATGGCTCCTAAGTGCTTACTAGTTAGAGCCTGGACTGACTTACTCAGAGTTGGGGGTTCTGTCCCACTCAAAGTATTTTTCTTTTCTTTTTCAATGAATTTTATTGCTGCTAAGAAATAAATGCCCGGGCGTTTAATCAGTAAAATACGGTACATGTGCATGTGTATAGGGGCTTTAGAACAGGATTCTATGTATACAGTACATGCAACAAGTATTGGATATTGTATGTGTTAATGATACTAATAAAATGACATAAGAGTGATTCAATTCCTGTACCAGAGGTAACTGTTTAATTAGAGGCCGGACAGCTTTGATGATGATGGTAGTCAAGTGAGGTAATGCTGAGAAATATTTGAAGATATTAAATATAATAAATTAGAGGTATGGGATCATGAGATTAGGGAATAGTGAAGAATTAGAGAGGCAAGATCAAGGAAGTATAATATATATAGTATAACCTTACAACAGATTATAGTCATTAATGTACGTGTACAGTACATCAAATGTGTATCATACAAGTATTATAATAATATACCAATTGGCACAATAATCATGTTGTTCATTCTCAGCTATTTTTTTAGAAAGCTGAAGCAAAACTTTGTGGCATATTAATGTACAGTGTATATTTAGCGGCAATGAAGGACACTATAAACTTAAAGTTGTGAATCAAATCAATCAATGTTCATTTACAATGTACAATGTACATGTATTAATATTAGCAGCTAGCATATGAAGTATTCTAACATCTACAAATGTACATTTTCCATTCTATATCTTACAATCCAGTAACAATCATACACAACATACAGTATACATGTACATGTCTTATACACATGCACCATACATGTATGTACAATACAGCACATACATGTATACATGTACATGTATACATGTACATGTATACATGTACATGTACATGTGTACCGGCCAGTACTAATTCCAGTACCTGATTCAGCATGCAGTTCCACACTTCTTTACCTTCAGAATAGACCTCAGCCTATGGAGAGGGAGGGAGAGAAAGGAATATAAAGACAAGCAAAGGAGGAAATTTGTAATTATGAAACTTGTTATGACAATAACAACAACAATTGTATTATTAATTAGATTGAGGACATGTACATGTATATGTATGTCTACCTTTCCAAGTTTAGCTTTACATTCAGAATCAACTGGAGCATCACCAGTGAATGTGTGAGACTTGACTTCTGTTAAGAGGGAGAGAGAGGGAGGGGGAGAGAGAGAGGGAGGGGGAGAGAGAAGGAGAGAAGGAGAGGAGAGAGGAGAGAGAGGGAGAGAGAGAGAGATGTATACTAATTGGTAGACTGGTACTACGGACAGTATAACGATGATTTAATTACATTAATGTGATTCCAATTACCTCCAGTGGACTTAGTCTTCACTGCTTCCTCCTCTACCTCTTCTACCTTTTCAACTAAATAATAATAATAACAATAATGTGCATACATTAAAACATACATGTACATGTACATGTAATCTCTCTACCTCCCTCCCCACCTCTCTCTCTCTCCCTTTCTCTCTCTCCCTCTCTCTCTCCCTCCCTCCACCTTTCATTTTCTTTGTCTTCTTGCTAGTAACACTGTCCTCTTTCTCTTCCTCCCTCTCTCTCTTCTTCCCATTACTAGCACCAGCTGAACCAGTAGAAGAAGCAGACACAGCACTAGTCACACTAGCCACACTGCTAGTAGCTGCTGGTATATTTCTTCTTATCTTCCGGCTCACTCCTGTTGAAACGTTTACCTGCTCCATCTTACCAAAGTCAATCTTGTAGCTCCGCCCCATTATCGTCATGGTAACGGAGGCGTTACCGGCCGCATGTGCGTCTTCAATAGATTGTGTGTCAGTATCAGAGTATGGTAACCATTTACTGGATTCATCTTGCCACTCCCACACAGCATCTATTAATGAATATATAATGAGGTGGACATGTACATGTACATGTAATATAATACATGTACATGTATATGTACATGCAATGCAATTCTACAAATTTTTGATGTAAGTACTAAATTCTGCGAATGGATACCTATAGGCAAACTCTTAATTTTATCTATTACGGCGTAATACATTAGTAGTACATGTACATGTGTATAATGTGCTTCAATAAAACATGTGATACGAGAAAATGATAATTATTACCAGGAGGAATATATTAATAAGTGTAAATTGAATTAATAAAATACTTAGAATTTATTGAACAGCTGGAGCTATACCCATTAATGCAACAGTGCATGGTTCTTAGTAATAAAAAATTAATAATAAATTAATAATAATAATAATGATATTAATAATGATAATGATACTAATAATAATTAAGTAGGGTCAATTAAGTATGTACATGAACATGTACATGTACAAGTATGTATTATATATGCATGTATATGGTCCCCTTTTAAAACTTAAAGTATCTTCACTACATGTACATGTACTAGCTGATGTACAACTAAGCAATGTAAATGTACTCATACATGTACACATGTACATGTACATGTACATGTACATGTACATCTAAAGTGGCTTTATTCCGGTAAAACATAAAGAGGAAGTGTTTTGTGAGTGTGTGTCTGTAGAGGGTTACAACTCTACTGCCATGGTGATGCATAGTAATTAAGAGATACAAATAATGTGGAGAAATATGTTAATGGAGAGAGAGAGAGAGAGAGAGCGGGGGGAGAAGTTAAAAGTGCAGCTAGTATATGGAATGAAAACAGTGAAAGAGAGAGAGAGAAGGAAGAGAGTGAAATTACATACACAATGTATTGCTTGTAAGACAGAAAGGGAAGTGACATACAACATACATGAAGAAAGGAAAGGAAGATACAATACACACAATCAGTCAATATACCAGGAACAAAGTACATTAAGATATGTACATGTACATGTACTAGCTGTTACAATATCCCATTCATTCCAGTGCATTATCATAATAAGATCTTAAATCCTTACAGGCTCCCCCTTAAATGATCTTCATTCATCTAGTTACAGTAACATTGACAGAGTAGATGTACATGTATATGTACATGTATTACATGTATTATGATCAAGATATTATATATAATATAGTTCATCAATTACCAGTTGGCTGAATCTGTCTGATATTGACTGTATCTCCATTACTCTCATCCTCCATTGAGTCCTCCTTCATATTAACAGTATAGTCCTTCCCATACAAACTAATGGAGACTGTATCTAGTGATAACTGTTTAGCGGCATTTAAGAACCTTCCAGTACTATCTGGAAACCTACATGTACAAAATAGTAATAATGATAATAGCAAGAGTAGATGATAGTTAGAGAGAGTGTCGAGCTGCACTATGCTAGCTGGAATATGACCGCGTAGAACTTTCTTGCGCATCTTTGGGCATTCCCGCATACTGGGTGTGGCTGAGTAAGAAAAAATGGCTGCCGAGTTTGCTCAACAAGGTTTACTGGCCGTTTTGGAGTCTCTGCTGTAGCTGCACTGCATAACAGGCTTCAGCATGATTATAAAGTGTACTAGTATGATGTCTAAAGCTTCTTCAAGTGTTCTCCACTGTTCCTTATGCAAACTTCTACACGTGCTTTTAGCAGGTACACCCACGCTTCAGGTCTCGCGTGACTTAGTTCTACGTGGTCATATTCCAGCTAGCATAGTGCAGTTCGACACTCTCTCTAACTATCATCTACTCTTGATAATAGTGATATAGTGATAATGTGATTGATGTAATGAGTAAATGATCACTGGAATGTGTAATAGTTTGAATTATAATTAACCACACAAGAGGACAAGAGAGTGAGAGAGTGTGTGTGTGTGTGAGAGAGAGAGAGTGTGTGTGAGAGAGAGTGGAAGAGAGGAAGGAGGGAGGGTGGAGGGAGGGAGGGAGGCAAGGAGGGGGAGAGAGAGAGAGAGAGGAGAGGGAGGGTGGCAAAGAGGGAGAGAGAGAGAGAGAGAAGAAAAGGAGAGAGATTATGAACATGATAATTACAGCTGCTATAATAAACACGCAATACATAAGTGCATGAGATCCAGTGCTTGTATAATGTAACGCATACACACAACTATATAAGGAGTGACTCATACTCAATATTATTATTATTTTCTAATCACCATCATTTATTATTATTTATTTATTCTTAACATATTAAATTAATGCTCAAAGAGTATTGCAATAAGAGACCATATTAGTCATAATAATTAGACAATATAAGGATTCAGTATGATATGTGACATACCATCAAACCTACTGGACTATCCCTCCAACATATGCACACACATACTGACCATACTATAAATACTATACATAGTACTGGGATGGAGCTTACATGTACATGTACATTGTACATGTACATAGATGAAGGTATATATATGCATGTACAGTCTTTTAATAGAGATGGGGCAAAGTGCATTTAAAAGTACTTAAGCAAAGTACAAGTAATCTGACAACTGTACTTACATGTAAGTGTAAGTGTATACTTAAGTATAGTCCCATCCCTGATGTGCATACATGTACATGCACATGTATATTATACATGTGCATGTACATGTATCATGCAATAGTACATGTATAGGGTTGACCTTGGCCTTAGACAAATGAAATTTGATATTTCAATTTGATTACAATATAAATAATATTATTACAATTACTGGGAAATGACATACGCATGCACGTACAATAATAAGAAATAGGATAGAGAGACAGAGGAAATACATTAATATGATTATACATACATGTACATGTACATGTCTGAGGGATGTAGTTTTGGTGAACTGCTACATGTGGAAATATTTTTGGTGGCTGCATGGTTGCTGATTTTAATTTGGTAAAATTGTGTTGAGCATGCACATAAAGGTTCAAAATGGCTGGTTTCATTATCAAAATTTCCCACTCAAAAATTATCACGATAAATACATGTGCGTACCTCTTCCAGACTCCGCCTTCTTCCCACTCCCACAGAGCTTTCTCCGCCCCCTCATTCGCCTCCCCAATACACCTTATATTCCTGGACCAGCCTGTGCTAATGTTCTGCTGGCTCATCGAGTCTTTGAATTTTATTTTCATTTTGACGTTTCTTGCAACAGAAGTTGTAATCTCGTCTTTCCCAGACATAAATGATTTAGTAAGAGTTTCACCCACGTCGTCCGCATATTGGGACCATCGTCCATTGTCCCCTAGCCACTCCCACTTGACCTTTTTGACTTGGCCTTCTTCACCTTCACTAGATAATTTAGCTGCACCTAAAAATTAAGAATTAATTAGTCACGTGACTTAAGCCCCACCCACCAAAAATGAAACCTGTCTAATGACAACTTGAATTTATCGTATTTGCAAAATAAAAAATTTGGGAAGTTTCAAGTCAGGTGAAACAGTAGGGTTTTGTTCCTTGGATCACGTGATGAGACGTACCTCTGGTCCTTTTCCTTCCTCCAGTGACATTTGCCATTTTTTCAAGTGATCCACCCCTTCAATGCTGACCCTCCGTGACGTCATGTTCCGTCACTCAATTATCAATCATTGAAGGCAGGAGAGATAGAGAGAGAGGAGTTCGAGAGAGAGTAGTGAGGGATTTGGACGCTTTTCTGACTAACCTCTGGGCCTGTTTCCTTACCATTGCTTCCTTTGGCGGCCCCGTACTCTCTGAAAGGAGTTTAAAACAGGAGCCAACGAGCTTGTAAGTCATTTTAAAACCAGGCGAGATGTGAACCAAAAAGAAACATAGAAAACTGATGCAATTCCTATACATACTATCTACTATTACTACGTTGTAAAATATAAATGTAGTCACTTTAAAAAACTGCTAACATGTATATACATATTTCCTATTCTCCCCCTTTTATAGGTAATAATAGTATAGTTTCATTTGCACTTAAAGCTACAAGGCTTTTTCACTCTCTCTCAGTATTCTTCTTCACACTTTCAAGCTTCTCTCTCTCTCTTCCACTTGAACCACACACACACACAAAGATACAAGACTGGTAATGTCTTCTTCATCATCTTTCTCTCCTCAACAAATGATGGAGCATCCTCAATTACTGGAACTGAGTCTCGAGAGCCGATCTCGTTCCAGTACCTGGCCTTGTCCGCCTGACGAGGACGAGCTAACAGGTGGGCGGGGTTTATCAGAGTCGCCCGTGCCGAATATGCCCCCTGGGGCCGGTGGAAGTTTGAGTGGCGGGAGCCTAGGTGGAGGAGTGGGCAAGACTGATTCTACTAAGAAAATGAGAAACGCCTGGGGGAACATGTCTTACGCCGATTTGATCACACAGGCCATATTGTCTTCTCAAGATAAAAGACTGACATTGTCCGAGATTTACGATTGGATCGTACAAAATGTTCCTTATTTCTCCGATAAAGCTTCAAGCCCATCCACTGCTGGCTGGAAGGTAAGAGAGAGAGAAAGAGAGGGGGGGAGGGAAAGAGTGTCTATGTTGTACATATTGATTAAGATTCATATAGTGATACTTGTACTGTACTTTGTACGTATTAAAGTACATGTACTGTGATACCCTATTGAAATAAAGTGTATTGATAGAAGGAAAGAGGTAGAGAGAGGGAGGGAGGGAGAGAAAGAGAGAGGGGGGAGAGAGAGAGGGAGATAGAGAGAGAGGGGGGGATAAAAGAAAGGAAAAGAGACAATGCAAATAGAATAACTATATATCGTCATTTGTTATTTATAATGTAAAATAAAGGAAAGAGAAACAGTGCAGTACATGTACATGTACATAATGTCATTTTGAAGAAGGAAGGATCAAATGTGTCATTTTAAGTGAGAACGTTTGAAACTTGGCAGACGCGAGGTTTAGTTAAATTTACTAGACTTGACGCTACTTTTCAAATCAATGCTTGCCCTTTACCCACTGAGGCTAGGCCTAATTTTCACGTCTTTGGAGTTGATTTATTGTTGAATACAGTTGTCAGCTGTAAACTTTGCCGCCTTTTAGCACCACATTGATATTGTACCAATACACTATACAGTAAATTGTTTCTACACTTTGTCTCAATCTTTTGTTTTAGGTACATGTAACTGTACTACACATACTTGTAGATGTACTAATAGTATTGTATTGTGGGTATGGTGGTACTATGCATTAGCTAGTGTATTATTAATTGTATTTATAATTATTGATATTTGTCACTTATGCTCTTGTTAATAATCATGTACCAAGTGTACCCTTTATCATACACACCCACTGTGGAGCTACATTGACACTTTCCTTCCCTTTGCACTTTTAATGAAGTACATGTATAAAGTCATATCCTCTCTTGATGATTCTCCTTCCCCCTCTCTCTCCCTCTCCCTCCCTCACTCACTCTTCTCTCTCTCCCTCCCTTTCTTACCCCCTCTCCCTCTCTCCCCCCCCTCTCTCTCTCCCCCCCTCTCTCTCTCTCATTTTGTAATTCTACTTTCTATCCCATACAGTATCTTTTTTCATGTACATGTAGTACCATAGACTCTCCTCCTCTCCCACTATCCCTCATTTGTTTTTTAATGCTTCTAATGACTGACATTACAATGTTGTTACACTAGTCTCTTTTAACTTTTCCTCAGTATTGAAAACAATCCTGCCCTACAATAGAGAGTGTGTGTGTGTGTCCCACCATCTCAAAGCACATTGTCATGGTTACTATAGGTGAGAGGTGTGGTGTGAAGTATTTTAGCACTAGCTTACTTGGTATCTCTCCTAGGAGACACTTAGAAACAACACTTACATGTAATTATCTTCTTCTTTCTCTCTCTCACTGCTTGATTACATTTAGAAAGAGAAAGAGAAAGAGAGAGCAAAGTGAAGGCTATACATATACAGTGTAGCCTCTTTATTAAGGACACCATTAGGCCCACACTACCTGTCCTTAATACATGTACAGTGTAGCCTCTTTATTAAGGACACCATTAGGCCCACACTACCTGTCCTTAATACATGTACAGTGTAGCCTCTTTATTAAGGACACCATTGGGCCCACACTACCTGTTCTTAATACATGTACAGTGTAGCCTCTTTTTAAGGACACCATTGGGCCCACACTACCTGTCCTTAATACATGTACAGTGTAGCCTCTTTATTAAGACACCATTGGGCCCACACTACCTGTCCTTAATACATGTACAGTGTAGCCTCTTTATTAAGGACACCATTGGGCCCACACTACCTGTCCTTAATACATGTACAGTGTAGCCTCTTTATTAAGGACACCATTGGGCCCACACTACCTGTCCTTAATACATGTACAGTGTAGCCTCTTTATTATGGGCACAATTGGACCCACACTACCTGTCCTTAATACAGAGGTATCCTCATTTCAGAGGTACTTTTGTATAAGCTTGTACCAATTGGAACATTAGAAAATGTCCTCATTATAAAGGTGTCCTCATTATAGAGGCTACACTGTACCAGTGTCAGTCAAAATTGTAAACGAGAGAGAGAGAGAGGGGGGAAGGTGAGGGAGAGAAAGAAAGAGTGGGGATGAAGATTGATGCATTTAGTGTATGTACATGTACATGTATATTACATATATGTGTATGTGCATGTGTATACATGCTGCAGCCATGCAGTTATAGACACTATTCCTGATTGATGTCATTTTTTATAATTTGATTGTGTTTTTTATCCTTTTCCCCAACCCACTCTACACAAACTTCAATGGAATTTTAGTATACAGCATTATATCTCACCTGCCCTCCAGCACTTCAGACTCTCCCTCCCTCAATATGTTGTTAATGTATTATTAAGTCAATGAATTTCCTCCCAGTGAGTGTTTAATTATTTTCATGGACTGTGGGCACATTAGAATCCTCATTAGGTATTCATTAGTTCCACTTCTAATACGCCCACTTTCTATTATTAAAATGATTATCTCTTCTCAGAGTCACACTTTTAATAAAGAAAATGACGATTGTGTAATATTACATGTACATGTACAGTAGTGCTGCTATATTATAATACACATACAAGTACATGTTATTAATGGTATACTGAATAAGCTTATGCCAGGTTCTCTTTACATGTAGTCCTTACTGTATACTGTTGTTGTTTATCGTTTCATTGTTTGTATCATAATAACAACAACAATAAATAAGATAATAATAATAATAATAATAATAATAATAATGATAATATTCTGTTAACTTGATGTACCCTGCTTACAGTATCTTATCTTGTTCACCTTCTTATTTTAGTAATAATAATAATGATAATACAATTGTACAGAAACAATGTGGTCATACTTGTTACATACATTGTATGTTTATCTATTTCTTTTTCTCCTCCTTTCTCTTTCTACAATCCCTTCTGTCTCTCTCCCCCTCTCCCTCTCTCTCTCTCTCTCCCTCTCTCTCTCTCTCTCTCCCTCTCTCTCTCTCTCTCTCCCTCTCTCCTCTCACAGAATTCGGTGAGACACAATCTATCCCTCCACAGTCGGTTTGTTAAGGTACAGAATGAAAGCAGCGGCAAGAGCAGCTGGTGGACGGTCAATCTTGATGCCAAGAGCACACGAGGCCGGAGACGCTCCTCGTCCGTCGACAACACAAATGCTCCTTCCCCTCGAACAAAGAAAAGAGAGAAAAAGAAGCAGCTGAAGAAGATGAAGAATGCCGGCTCTTCAAACGACCTCCAAACCAGCAGTCCCTGTGATAGCCCCACCACTACTGGCTTCCTTCAAGCTCCGTGGAGCCCGTCCCCTCACATTGACTGTCCTTCTCCTACTAATTCTGATCGATCTGCTACCTATTCTCCTGTGGCTTTCTCTCCTGTCCTTCAGCGGAGTAGGAACGCTACCCCCGTCTCTCCTCTAGTATCTCCACCTGCTTTGGAACACGAGAATGTCTTCAGCGGCTCAAACTCATCTCTATTGGATAGCTATCATGATAACAGTGGGCTAGGTGGGGCACTGTTGTCTGAAGACTCCGTACCTGAGCACTGTATAACGTCCCTTGCTTCTCTTAACCTCAAGGCCTCAAGGGAAGGAATGGGTTCCTCTTCCTCTCTCTCGTCTCTTAATTCTCCTCGTCTTCAGCTAAAGCCTTCCCCACAGCAGCAACATGTATTTAATTTCCCCCTTCAGCCTGATGGTTCATCTGGCTATTCCTCTGTTTCTGATGGTAATGATTCCTCGATGATCACTGATGCTCAGGGTTCGTCACTGGCCCCACCCACTTATGAGGAACATGTTACAGGTCCGGCAGTGAGTCCTGTTAGACTGAACAGTGGCACACCTACAAGACACACTAGGTACAGACCACATGTACTTGTAATTAAGTCTAATTTGTACATATACTTGATGTGGATGCATCTGCAATGTTAATTAATGCACATGTACATGTACAAATACACATGTACTTGTGCCCATATATGGTATATGTATACATGTACACGTAGCTAGAAAATTTATTGAGGTCAAAATTTTAATTGCTAATCCTTTTGTAAAGGCATTAAAATTGTTAATTTCTATGACTATGATACTCCTCTCCCTACTGTCTTTATTTTTATTTTTTACTTATTTTTACATACATGTACATGTGTACATGTACATGTACATGTATTTGACCTTTCTATTTTTTTCATTTTCGTGTATATATGTAATTTATATTATCTTTATTGTTTTTTATTAGTTTTGGTCAGGCCAGTCACCCACTCCACCTCTCTCTAGCGTACGAAGGTCGGCCCCGCTCCGGTTCTGAGCCAGCCCCGCCTCGTGTCACGCCCCCTCACCATCACCCTCACCCTAACCACGCTCACACAATACACACAGTCCAGCACCATCACGCCTACCACCCCTCACCCTCACACCACATCCCTCGGGACATTGACCCTTCTCTCTTTAGCAACGACTTCAAAGTCGACATTCAGGACGTCATCCAACAAGAGCTTCAGTATGGAGGGGATTTCTCGCTCTCGGCAGGCACAGGGGCCATGGAGACTCAAACCATTCAACACCACGGGCATCAGTTCAATAACACGGCCTATACTGCTCTTAATCCTAATATACATGTTCATCATGGTAATTATGCTGCTACAGGTCATTCGACTGGTCACCAGTTTTATACTCAATCTCACGATCCCACTCTCACGTCAGTCGCTCTGGATTCTTCGTCTCCTAATTTATCAAGAAGACCTAATCCGGGGTATTAGCTGTTTAAAGAGAAATGGAGAGACTTTATTGATGCTATTATAGTCTCTTGATAACATTATGTATGTTCAATGCTCATCCATATCCTCTTGTTTCTTTTAATATTCTCTCTTTATATTCTTCTTGCAATGCTTCCTTATGCATTATACAACAATGTAGTACATCTCTCCCCCTCCCCCCTCTCTCTCTCCCCCCCTCTCTCTCTTCTTGTCACATTAGCTGTCAAACATTATATTAGTTTACCTTTTGCTCTATTTCTCTTTATTATTTTTTCATAGACAGACACATGCACATAATGTATCATTATTATTATTATTATTATTATTATTATTATTGTTGTTGTTGTTATTATTAATTATTTTGATGCGTTGAGATGATTGAAACTTTTTAATTTTTTTAGTGTTAGTAATGAATTGTTGTGATGTTGTTATTATTAATAATTATTATCGTTCTTTTTCCTTTATTAATAATAATAATTGATAATTATAGACTCGAAAAAGTAGCGATAAAATTCCTAATCTTCTAGCTAATATTATTATTATTATGATTACTGTTAAGTTATTTTTCTGTTAGTTGATGACACAGTTCTCTATGGAATGACAAGAATCTACTTAATTAATGGTGCGTGGGTGTAAGATCTCCAGATAAGGCTCACTTATCCTAACCACAAAATCATTCACATACAATACCTTATAAGGCAAAGTACAACTATCAACATACGCCCACGCTAAATAATTGATTGTAAACCACGCCTACTTCAGCTGACGTGGCCTTGTTATTTTATTTTTTTATTTTGCTCATTCTTCCTCGCATTTTTCCCGTTACTAGACTACAGTCACTGAAGGAAAGGACAATAGGTTCATTATGAACAGGAGTTATAACCAGAGGAGCCCAGGTAAGGAAAATATGGAGAGAATACGGGATGAATGAATAGTGGGCCAAGTTCTTTTTTCAAATTTATTATTATTTTATTGTATCCCTATATTATATATAGTTCTTTTCAGCAGTTTTAGCACTCTATACTGAACCATTGAGTGACTATAATGTTGAGTTTTAATTGTGAATTGTGCCCTTTTTAATTGATAAGATTCTCTCGAAATTATATCACGATCATCTTGTATTACATTTATTATTGTTATACAATGTGTTATAATTCATGAAAAGTTTAATTTGTTTGACCACTCCAATAACATTAAGATTTGTACAGAGGTAGACCTCATTAGATATTATTTCAAAATATTACAGTACATGTATTATTTTATTAATTCAAGTATTTTTGTATTTTATTTATTAGCTGTGAGGAGGTTAATGAGAGAAGCTATTGAATTAAGGGAACCCTCTCCTCTTTATCATGCACAACCAATGGAAGTGAGTATTAGTATTTTTAATGCAGAGTTTGTTATATTAATCATTTTATTATTGTTATTTTAATTGATATTAGTTTATTCAAAAATATAAAATTGGCTATTTAATTTCCTATTTTTAATGGCTAAAGTTACATGTACTGTACATGATTGAACGAAATGCTCACAGGTTCAATATACCACCCTCTAATTTTTTTATTGCATTTCCAATGCATATTGATGTCCTTATGTTGTGTAGAAATTTTGAGCTGATTCCGACAAATATTTTTTGAGTTATGGCCATTTAAAAAATTGGCCAATTTTTGAAAAATTCCCAAGGCTATAGCCCATAGTTTTTTCAAAGAAATCGCTCCGAAATCACCCCAATTTTTTATTACATTTTCTGATACATATTGATGTCCTTATGTTGTGTAGAAAGTTTGAGCTGATTCCAATAAATATTTTTCAAGTTACAACCATTTTTTTAAAATGTCAAAATTCTGAAAAATACTCAAGGCTCTAGCCCATGGTTTTTTCCAAAAAATGGCTCCGAAATCACTCCAATTTTTTATTACATTTTCTGATACATATTGATGTCCTTATGCTGTGTAGAAAGTTTGAGCTGATTCCGACAAATATTTTTTGAGTTATGGTCATTTTAAGAAATTGGCCAATTTTTGAAAAATTCCCAAGGCTATAGCTTATAGTTTTTTCAAAAAAATTGCTCCGAAATCACCCCAATTTTTATTACATTTTCTGATACATATTGATGTCCTTATGCTGTGTAGAAAGTTTGAGCTGATTCTGACTTCAAGTTACAGCCATTTTAAGAAAATGCCAAAATTCTAAAAAATACCCAAGGCTATAGCCCATGGTTTTTTTCAAAAAATAGCTCTGAAATCACCCCAATTTTTATTACATTTTCTGATACATATTGATGTCCTTATGCTGTGTAGAAAGTTTGAGCTGATTCCGACTTCAAATTTTCAAGTTACAGACATTTTAAGAAAATGCCAAAATTCTAAAAATTACCCAAGGCTATAGCCCATAGTTTTTTCCAAAAAATGACTCCGAAATAAGCCCAAATTTTTATTACATTTAAAAAATTCAAATTGATGTCCTTATGTTGTATAGAAAGTTGTATGTATATGTACATGTCAAACCAAATTTTATAATATATTACATGTGTAATTGATATTTTTAGGATAATTTGTTTGAATGGCATTTCACAATACAAGGTCCACCTGGTACTGATTATGAGGGAGGACGCTATCATGGACGTATCTTATTACCACCAGAATATCCAATGAAACCACCTTCCATTGTTATACTAACTGTGAGTGAGGGAGGGAGGGAGAAATACTATGAGAACAGAATACATGTACATGTTAAGTACTTGCAAATGTACATGTACTGGTTTGTCTTCATTTTATGCTTTTCTTATCTCGCATCTTTTTTCTTGTCACTTTTCTCTCTCCCCCTCTCTCTCTCCTCAGCCTAATGGAAGGTTTGAATTAAATCAGAAGATTTGTTTAAGTGCTTCAGCCTATCATCCTGAGATGTGGCAGGCCTCATGGGGAAGTAAGAAATATTAACAATCATCAAACATTCTCTCTTCGCTTCTTTCTTTCTTTTTCTCCTTCATATTTAGTCTTACTACATGTTAATTTACAATGTACTGTAGCAATAGAAAATTTGTTCGACAAATTTCTTTTTAAATTTTCTGGCTGTTGTAATTTTAAAATAATTGACTATAAATGTCCATGTCCATGTACATATCCACTGCTATGATTCACCCTTTGAAGTACATGTACATGTACATGTAAGATGCTAATTAAAGTCTTATTATTAGCAAATTTAGCTCAATTTACATAATTACATGTACATGTAAATATTTCTTTAACTACATGTACATGTACATGCACATGTTCATACATGTATGTACATGTATGCAGTATATTTCTCTTTTATCCTCCCTCCTCCTCCCTCTCTCTCTCTCTCTCTCTCTTTCCTCATTAGTTCGTACTATGTTATTGGCACTGGTTGGTTTCATGCCAACTGATGGTAAAGGTACTATTGGTTCACTGGACTGTACACCTGAAGCAAGAAGACAAATGGCTATTAGGTATACATGTACATGTACGATTATAATAATAATAATAATGTGTATGTATTGAAGAATAATGATGCACATGTACTGTACTTGTGCTCTGTGGAAATTTTCTGTGTAAATTTTGCTAATTTTGCTGCTTCGCAAAATAACAGTAATAAATGCATATACATGTACATGTAGATCGAAGTACAATGTACATGTATGACTATTATCATGTGTTATATACATGTACTGTACATGTAATATTTGTTTTACATGTAGTTGTCATGGTAATTGGCCCCACCCTTTTATAGTTAATTAAATGATTTTAAATCTTTTTATTTGAAAAAAAGAAAATATGCATGTACATGTGCAAAATAATTAATCAGTAAATTGCTATTTTGTCGTTTCCATAATCACAAACATACAAAAATCCATCTTTGTTAAATGTTAATATTGCTGGTGACATGTCATTACCAAACCTCCTAACAAACCCACCATCACTAGTGAATACTGATATACAACCAGTGCCCCCTTCACTAACATACACTAGACTAGTAGCTCCAGTGTCTATTGTTATACCTGTTGGCCTGTTAAGCTGTCCAGGACCAGATCCATAACTGCCAAACTGACCCACAAACTTTCCATCTGGAGAGAACTTTTGAATTCGGTAATTAAATTCATCAGCAACATACACTAATCCTTGACTGTCAATAGCAATGTCACATGGAAACATAAACTGTCCATTATTTGATCCATATTTACCAAACGAATGAGAGAAGGTTAGATCAGGATTCAAGACTTGTATACGATCATTATTCGTATCAGTAATATAAACCTGTCCTGTTGTAGGAGAGATAGCAATACCAGTAGGAGCATTGAACTGTAGTGGTCCTTGAATTACCTTATCCTCTTCCTCATTCTCCTCCTCCTCTTCGTCCTCCTCCCACTCCTCCTCCTCCTTCCACACCTCCTCCTCCTCCTCTTCCTCCTCCTCCCACTCGTCCTCTTCCTCCTCCTCGTCCTTGTCCTCCTCCTCCTCACCAACTGATGCTATAAGGTCCCCATCCATGCTTATCTTCTGGATCCTGTGATTATCAGATACAAGAATGAATTTGTCTGGAGTAATGGCTATGCCACGAGGATAGATAAATTTGACATTACCACTTCCTCCTTCCCCTCCTAATGATTTCACTTTCTTTCCTTCTTTATCCAGTATTGTTACACAGTGACCCTCATTCTCAGTTATTATAACATGATTATCATCAGTTACAGCAACTCCATAGGGGCGACTAAGCTCAGTTATAGTACATGCTGGAGTGATGTTATCAAGGTAAGGATTGATAGGGATAACTAGTGAGGTATTGTCAAATGGTACATCATATACTTGTACTTTTACTGTATGAGTACCACTGGTTGAAGGGTTACACTGTATCCTATACACTCCAGGACTAGTGGTAGTGACTGTAGTGTGAATGGGTTGATCATCTTTACCAACTGGTACTAGACTACACCTCAGAGAAGAGAGGGGAACAGACAAAAGAGACGAATCTGGTGCCTCCATTGATAGTGAAAACGAAACTTCCTTTTCCTTTGGTAAACGTTCAAAGCAACCAACTTTCTTCACTCTACACTGCTGTACTGCAGTAGATGAGTAGGTCACAATATCTCCAATGTGATGTAGCAATTTGATGATATTATGTTTACTTAATACAAAATGTTCGTTTGGATGTAACTCCTCCACATTGATCCCTGCAGTAACTTCACTCATACGCTCCATCATCTGTTTCTTAGACCTCAGGACTTGTTGAGGACTGCCTGTCTTCAGACTCTGTTCCACATAATCCTGGACATCCTCCAGAACACTCAAATTCATTTCTGCTGATTTCATTTGCTCTGACAGCACCTTTAGTTTAGCATCAGTGACCCTCTTTGCCAGCTCAGTCAGTTTCCTCTCTGACTGACGAAGAACAGCAATCATTTCCTCTACCATCTTGTGTATCTCTTTTAATACTCCTTCTCCTCTCTCTCTTACTTCTTCCTCTGTATCTGTTAGAGCAGATTTGACTTCTTTAAGTTCTTCCATTTTTTCTTTAACCGGTTCTAAGCAGGTCTCCAATTCCCAACAGTGTTTAGTGTAACTGTCATTGACTAGGTCATACTCATGTTCTTTATGAATGCGAACTGTGCAGTGCAGACAAATGACAGTATCACATGTTTCACAGAATATCTCCAGTGGCTTCTGGTGAGTGGAGCAGGTGAGGGTTGCCTCCTGTTTAGCAAAAGCTAGTAATGGAGAGTTGGAAGAGACAGAGGCTGTCACCTCATCAAGATGTGTTAGATTGTGATGAGCAATAGGGGCCCATATCTTGTGGACATCCAGACATTTTTGACAAAGGAACTTACTGCAGTCTTTGCAGTATTCAGTGGCATTAGCTGTAGTACAGTTGTCACAGGTGACCTGTTGAGGATTAGTAGCTTTCTTCATGAAAGTGTGTATCTTTTTGATGTTTTGGAGATGGAATGCTACAGGAAAGGCTCCTGCTCCTTCTTCTGGTAACTCTGTACAATGATGACAAGTGGGACAAGAGATGTAGTAAGTCTCCACATCCTTCCCCTGCTTTTTATCCAGAGGTAGCCCCTCCAGACAGTGCTGACAGAATGAATGCAGGCAAGGTAAGGACTTAGGATTGGTGTAGATATCAAAACATATGGAGCAAGTCAGCTGTTCCTCCAATTTGAGGAGACCAGAAGAAAATGAAGGTTTGGTGGCCATTTTAAAATGCGAAATTGTGAATAATAGTTTAGAGAGTGAAGATAGACGGTATAAGAGAATAAAGGAAACTTAAAGGAGATAGTAAAAAAGAAGACTGAGTATGCAACACAGTAGAGCTGATGATGGAATCCTCAGAGTGATGGGAGAGCTATGGGTGAGCACAATGGTCAATGGTGACCTTTTGTCCTGTGGCTGGATTAGGTTTTGATAGCTTACAAATGATAAGAATACAGACACTCCCCAACATCCCATTTACCTTGGTAACATGCTACTGTATATAGGTGAATTGACTAAAACAATTTTTCTTCTAAGTCCAAGTGCCCATACACTCAAACCTGTCTATTCCGAACACTTTGTGACCCAATAATACTGTCCTGGGACTTATGAAAGTGCATGTCATTATTTTCAGAGGTTCATTAATACACATTACTATTGTATTGGGACTGATGCTACCTGTCCTGATTATAGAGGTGTGATCTGTCCTTATTTAAGACCAGTTTTAAAAAAAAACACATACATGTACTAGCCCATGCATGCTTTATTAAAGAAATAGCTCCAAATATTTATAAATTTTTAAAATTGCTCCAAATGCTGTCTACTATGTACTGTATTGTAGTGCTTGTCAGCTCGCGAAGCTCATGGTGTTTAGCTCACTTAGCATGCTTTGTGGGAAACCCTGATAATAATGTACATGTAGATTGTTTAAGTCAATTTAAATCGCAATTATTATCCATTCATTCCTAGGTCATTAGAGTGGGTATGTCCTACTTGTGGTGTTGCTAACAGGACAGCTTTACCTGAAGGAAGTGAAGAGGAGGCACGAGATACTAAAATTACTAAAGAAATGGAAGACATTGTATCACAAATGGCAATCAAAGTATAATCACACATGTACATGTACATGTAGTTATAATTGAATGATTGAACTATTGTTGTTTTCTATGCATGTAAAATTAACTTGCTTTTATCATAATAAAGCCAAAATCTATCTCACTTTTTCATACCTTAGAAGTATTATGAAAACTCATCATGTACATGTACATGTACGTTACATGCAACTTGCTTCCCGGCCCAGTATAGATATAATTATTCCACCATTATACATGTAATTATTATTTTATATAGTTATTATTAATGAAATTCATTTATTTCAGTCTCAAGAAGAAGTTGATGCTCAATTTAAACAGCAAGTCCAGCGTCAAAGTGAAGCCTCACATGTTCCCCAGCCCCGCCCTCCATCAACCGACCAATCAAATCGAAGGAATATTGATATCAAAGAGTCACACGATGAGTATAAAGATGAAGGAGGGACTGAGATTAATAAAGAATCATCAACTAGTGGAATTAGATATCGTGGACAAGAAGAAACAGATCAGCCTCTCCCTCCCCCTCCCTCCCTCTCTCCTCCTCCTCTTCCTCCATCAGTCTCAAGGGTTGATGGTAGTGTAAGGAGAGAAGTACAAAGAGGATCATCAAATTATATGATTTTATTTCTTATTATTGTCATTGTGTTAGTAATATTTTTGTTGGTTGCAAGGAGACTGAATGGCAGTAATCGTAATGAAACTAGTCATTAGTAGATAGTTTATAATGCAAATTACACATTTTATATTGTGTCATTTATATAATAATTGTTTATTTATTCAGTAATCAGTGTCATAAGGTTATAGTAGCATCACTTGGCACAGGAAATGAATTCTTAGAAAATAATTCATTTCCGGTTCCTGTTATAATTCTTCATGCTTCACCATCACTCTCGCCATCACTGGTAAGACTGGTACAGGAGTGGCACTATCGAGTACAATAGAATAGATACATACAGATACTAGTCATGTCCAAGGCAGAGAAAGATTTCAAGAAGGTCATTGCTGGAACAGAGTATCCAGTAATTGAGGAAATAGCCCTAAAATTCAAGCCAAAGGACACGGTAAATATAAATGACTGGCAATGGTGTATTATAACAGTTATGCTAACTGTACTACTACTTAATTTGCAGATTATATCTAAATGTAATTTTAAAATTTTGGTTTTTCACAAGTTTCGTTACACTTTAAATCATGTGTATAGCATTGTGCTTAAATGGTGATTTTTTGTACTTAATAATTGTAGCAAAGTGTGTTATAAACATGGGCAGCTACATGTAAAACATGAAAGGTCACATAGAATATACTAAATACTCTAGTGGAGACTCTTATTGCTGTATATTAGAGTAACTTGGGGCTATTCTCAAATTAAATTTCATTAAGTCATAACTCACTCTTTTTTGCTTTATTTTATTTATTTTATTTATCAATAAGTTCTATTTTGCCTATTCTATTTATACTTTCTTGACATCAGCAAAATTCCACTTGAAGTTTGAATAAAAACAGTACTTTCACTGACCTAGTTGTTGAGGCTATTCTGACCCTCCGGATACTAACTAGCATATGGAAAAATTGATGCAGTGACTGGAGATATACAAACACTGTATCACTAGATGATAATACGTGAAAAGCTAATGAACATAACTTTTTAGCCAGAGTTGCTTAGCTGCCCTTTATAAAGATCAAGCAGTTATGTGATGCTGGTAGTTAGAGAATTCTGTGCTGAACAGACATCTCTTTGTTCCAGTACTATAAGTGCTATAGTTAAGAAGTTACAATAGGAGAAAGAGGACCATCTAATCGGGGCTATTGCGACAGCGCTGCACACAAATTTTACATTAGTTTAAAAAGGGGGACAGAATAGCCCCAACTTACTCTATTATTTTTTTATAGCTTATAGGGATAGGTTCTTCTGACAGAGTGCGCTTTGCAACACACGAGGGAAGAGATGTTGCTGTCAAGTATTCCATATTAGCAAGAGAGCATAAAGAATTAGAACAAGAGGTCAGTTTAATAGTGACACATTAACTTATATATAATACCTGTTCCCCTCTTCTCTCCTCCTCTAATTTAGTTATTAATTTTCAATTCTCTTCAGAAACATGATAATATTGCAGTTCTCCTTGGAACAGGACCAAATGAGGTACAGTGTATAATAAAACTGCATGAGAATCCCAGTTGGTATACAAGCACTTAAATGAGGACATCTATATGTACACTGTTATCTGTATAAGGTGTTTGTAAAAAAAGATGCCACTATATATACATGTCTGTGTACTATGTATTGACTGCTTTGTACTGCATCAGTTGCATGGCGCCCCACAGCATCATGATTTTTTCAACCATGTTCAAACTAAGTTTACCAAAAATTTTTAGGGAATTAAATTTGTGTAGTTATTCTCAGAATAACTACAGAATAACTACACAGGTTTCAATTCTGCACAAGAACTCAAATTTGACTAACTTGAGTTCACAAAATAGAAGTGCACAAAATACTATAATATTACTATTATATTTTTGCTAAAAAAATTTTGGCCCAATTTTTGACCGACTTAAAAATTTGTAAAAATTTGGGTTTGATTGAAATCAGTTCAAACAAATACCTGTATATGCACAAGGAAAAAATATAAAAATGGAGAATTCTCTTTTTTACAATTTTTGGCAAAATTTGGCCCGTGACCTGTACTGTAGTAAAGGGACTTAATTTGACCCAATTTCAGAGCAACTTAGAAAATTCGTAAAAATTCATTTTTATCAAAATCAGTTCAAACTTTCTACACAACATAAGTACATGTATATCCAATTATCCATCAGAAAAAATTATAAAAATAGAGAATTCTCTTTTTTTCAATTTTGATCAAAATTGATATAAGACCATGTACTACTATATGGCTATGTTAATTTACATGTATAGTATCAAAAATTCAGTTACATTTCCAAATAACCTTAATTGTTTTTGATTATTTTTAGCGCTTCATTATAAGGGAATTTGCTCCTTATTCTTTGGAAACAGGTATACAAGCATTATTTTTTTAATGTAATAAATTTGAGGGTGATTTTGGAGCCATTTTTCAAAAAAGCCATGGCCTTTGCTTTTTCCAAAAAATTGCTACTTTTTAAAAATGGCCTTAATTACATGTAACTTTTAAAATGTTTGTCGGAATCTCCTCAAACTTTCTACATACATGTAGCATTAATGTAGCAGCTCTCTATTTCTTTATTGCAGTATTACATGGGTCATATCCTCATTGCTATACTTATGAATATAATCATGTAATGCATTGGGCTCGTCAAACTGCTGTAGGTCTGGAGTACTTACACAGTAAAGGATTTCTCTGTCCAGGAATAAAACCATCGAAGTAAGCATGAAGTAGGAAAATTAGTGGAGTAATTTTAAACTTTTGGCAAGTTTTTGCATGTTTAGGCTGGTATGTTAATACTGTAGATCTGAAAATGCATGTAATTGCGAATTCGCCATTTTGTTTCACTCTATATTATGAATGCATAGTTACTGTACAGTTGGTAAACTGGGAATTATTTTTTGGGGTTGAAAATTTATATACAACGTAGGATCTGATCTATTTTGTTACCTGTAGCTATACTGCATGTTCTATAACATATGCCATATGTTAATTGCACTTTCAAATTCAAAGGAATATTTTTGCAAGGCTTGGAATATTAAAAAAATTAAAAATATTTATTTAAAGATAATCTCTTAATTTAATCCCATTAATAGTTCCAGCTTTACAGTGCTACATGTTTATTTACAATCATTTTTCTAGTCTCCTTTTGTTTGGTAATGGATCTCATTTAAAATTATGTGATTTTTGTTCTGGTGAAAATAGTTGGCACTATTATGATGCTTCTGATGCTATACATAATGATCCAGTGAGGTATACAGCACCTGAAGTTCTTCGAGGTATGAATAAAAATAAAGATCCAGATAGTGAATGCCACATTTGTTTCAGCTTTAGTATTAATGTCCTTCAAAATTAATTTTTTTCCTTCATGTATTTGTTTGTTAGGTACAAGTTATTCTACTGAAAAACGTGACATATTCAACTTTGCCATTACTCTGTGGGAGATGCTAGCTCGTCAAGAGCCTGTGGTTACAGAAGATGACACTGAAACTATTTTTGAAGGCCTAAATCAAATGGCAAATGGTAAGAGAGAAGGAAGGAGGTTGGAGTTTATGATTTTGATGTCCTTAATTTCAGTAGTACTTAATATATTGAATTACTGTATGTATTGGTAGTTTTAATTTTTATTGGTGATTTTGCAGCCATGTGGTTTTAGAAGGCAGAACATGCTTAAAATAAAGAGAAATGGTAGATTTAATTTTGATGGTGTTATAATCAATCCACCAACTGCAAGAATAAAATTTTCCTGCTATATGTATAGTAAATATAAGTTTGAGCTGATTTGATTAAATTTGTAAAATTTGCTCTAGAATTTGATGCCCAAAGAACACATAGGCTATTGCTTAGTGTGCTTTACAGGCTTTGAAATCACTTCCAATAAATTTCTGATACATGTATAGACAAATGTTATGATGCCCTATTACTGTGTAGAATATTTGAGTTGGCAAACTTTTGAGTCATTTAAATCAATGTGTTTTTATATTTAGGAAGACGACCGCCATTATTAGTTGGTCACCCTTCATTTGTCAATGAATTACTTCAGAAGTAAGTGATCATGTAAATTATCATTGTAATTACTGTACAGTACAAATTTTTGAGGGGTCATAAATTTTGTCAATGCACCCAAAAAAGTATTCTACAGATTTAATTTATGCACTCAACCATATTAAGTTGATTTTTAATTTTCATGTATTTTATTTTTGCCATTCTGTGTATCTAACGTACAGGTGCTGGAATCAAGATCCTGGTGTAAGGCTAACGTCAACTGAGCTGGTAGAGAAATTTAAGAAAATTTGTGAAGTAAGATAACTGTGTTACTTATATTTTTGAATGCTTTTAAGGAGGGTTAGGGTTAAATTTCCCAAAACAAGCCTTACCCTTGCTATAGTGTCAAAAAGTTTCACTTTTAAGTACTTAAAAATGATAAAATACAAATGTTGTCAGAACTTGGCATTCTTAATGGAAAGTTACCAAACATTTCTTATATTGAAAAGGTTGTGCAAGTTTTACAGCACTCTTTACTGTGCTACAATGTATAATGGATTTATTATAGTACGTGTATGGGTTTATCAAAGGCATCATAGTCCTTTGTTTAATGTACTGTAATTTTGCTAACCTTTTCTAAATTATTTTCTTTTTCTCTCTCAATCTTTCTCTCTCTTTTCCTACTCTTCTCTAGCATTTTAAATTTGGTGAGCCAATTTCTCTGGAATATGAAAGTGGTCAGTTATTATATGTACAAACCTACTTATTGCATAAAATATATGTACACGTACACATTCATAAATCATAATACATGTAATTCAGGCTGTCATTACTAGTAGTATGTACATGTACATATGTAATTATAATTTAAGCTGTTTGTTAGTAAACAGAGCCCATTCAAATGTTAATTAAATAAAGTCTTAGTATATTTTAGTAATGATACCATATAACTGTTGCTAGTGCATGTATATACTATTCATTAACACAAGCTAAATGTATGCTTTATTATAATGCTATTATGTTATAGCTGTAGGGAAGTGGATGGAGGAAGGGAGTGTTGATCTAACTGTTACTCGTGTTAATATGCTTGGTGCTCCTGGAGCTGGTAAAACCTGTTCACAGCTCCTCCTACTAAATGAAGACCCACCCACTAATGACACCAGTACACCCATCGCCTGCCCTGCCGTTAGAGCTACAAGAGTTGCTGTTTCTGATAAAATGATTTGGAATCGAGTGACTCGAGCCAATTTACTTGATGAATTAGCAACCAATTTGACTACAATAACTGCTCATTCAGAGCAAGAGAAAACAAAACAACCTCCTGCGCCTGCAGTCCTCTCATTACCAGATAATACTGAATCATCAGCTGAAGTATCATCAGATCTATCTCCTACTCCACATGACCCTACTCCAGCAGTTTCATCAGGAACAGAAGATATCAAAGAAGATAAAAAGTATCATACTGAAGCAGTTGTCCAAGAAATTTTAGCCACTCAACCGAAAGGGATTCGTAAAAGTGACCATTGGCTGTACGTTATTGATTCCGGTGGTCAGCCAGCATACCAGGAGTTACTGCCTTTATTCACTAGAGCAGCTTCTCTCAATATTATAACATTGAATCTATCTAAGCCTTTC